AGTCCCAACTGGCCTGGAACTCACTGTGTAGATCAGGCTGGCCTTGCACTCACAGAGCTCCACCTGTCTCTGCCTCCTGAGTGCTGGGATTAAAAGCATGGACCACCATGCTTGACCAATGTTTTAAAAAAATATTTTATTATTTTTATTTTATGTGTATGAGTGTATTGCCTGCATGTATGTGAGCACTCTCGTGTCATACAATGTCGTGGCTTCTGACCCAACGGGCAGTGGTGGCTCTGCTCTGTTCCCTTGAGCCAGGGCAGTGGCTTTATGCCTGAGTGAACCTGGGGAAGGGGACCAACTCCAAGTGCCCCCCCCCACCAGGGGCAGGGCCTGGGGACAGGTCGATATTGCGAAACCCCTTCCTGGCAACTCTGGCTGCGCGGCGGCCCGCCTGCAAGAGCAGTCAGTGCTCTTAACCACTGAGCTATCTCTCCAGCCCTGCCTGACCAATTTTTAAATTTATTTTTATTTTAAGTATGTGTTTTCCTGCATGTAAGTGCACCATGTCCTGCAGTGCCCTCAGAGGCCAGAAGAGGGTGTCGGAACCCTTGGAACTGGAGTTACAAATAGGTTATTAGCTCCCAAGTGGATGCTGTTATTTGAACCAGGGTCCTCTATAAGAGCAGTCAGTGCTGAGCCATCTCTCCAGCCCCTGGCTTAAAAAGAATAGTAGGGGAGAGGTGTGCTGGCAGACAATACACTCATACACATAAAATAGATAAATAAGGGCTGGAGAGATGGCTCGGCGGTTAAGAACACTGGCTGTTCTTACAGGAAACCGGGTTTGAATCCCAGCACCCACATGGCAAGCTAACAACTGTCAGTAACTCCAGGTCCAGGGGATCTGACAGCCTCTTCTGTCCTCCAACGGCACTGCACGACACGGGTCACTTACCTACATGCAGGCAATACACGAATACACATAAAATAAAAATAATAATAAATAAAGTTTTTAAAAAAATATACTGAGCCTCTTCCAGAGTCCCCAGGGTCTTTGAACAATGGCTGGAAAGGAAGCCAGCCTGGTTCAGAATTTGAGTTTCTCCACAAATGGCTTCATGAACTTAAGTGGCATAAGTCTGGGGCTTGGATCCTTTGGCAATTGTTTCATTTTATTTTATTTATTTGTTAGCTGCCATGTGGGTGCTGGGATTCGAACCCAGGTCTTCTGAAAGAACAACCAGTGTTCTTAACTGCTGAGCCATCTCTCCAGCCCCCATTTCCTTATTTGAAATGCACATGAAGTTTCTGTGTACCTGTTTTGTTGTTTCCTAATAAATGCATTTGGAGACCTGGCATGGTGGCTTATGCCTGACAGCATAACACTCAGGTAGGGTAGGGTAGATGGAGGCAGGAGGATTGCTTCCAGTTTGAGGCCAGCCTGGGCTACACAGTGAGTTCTAGGCCAGGTTGGGCTACAGAGTGAGACTGTCAAAACAAAATAATCTCACAACAACAAAATGCATTTTGAGGCTATGAATTTGCCTTTGAGAATGACTTTGGCTGTGTTCCTCAGTCACCTTCCACCTTGGTTTTTCAGACAGGGTCTCTTTCTGAACCTGGAGCTCACCCATTAGGCCAACCTCTCTGGACATGGAGCCCTGGGGACCCTCCTGTCTCCACCTCCCCAGCGCTGGAGTCACCACACCCAGCTTTTGCTGAGTGCTCTGTGGGATTTGAACTTGGGTCCTTGTGCTTACACAGCAAGCATTTTACCCACTGAGCTGTCTCTTCAGCCCCTAACACTAAAAATTTTATCTTAGTAGAACAGACAAGCTTGGAGACACTGCCCACTGCCAAGGTGACTGTTTCTCTGGCCACCCCAGGAAAAACAGAGTAGACCCAGAGCCAAGGAGGGCCGGTGGATGTAAACAGAGTTTTATTCAAGGGGCTGGGGCTGGGAAGGGTCCTGGACTCAGCTGGCCGCGTGGCATGCACAGTCAGCTGGTGATCAAAGAGGGGAGGTCACGGGGGGGACAGGCGGCATGGGACCCTCTGACCACCCCAGGGCCATATTTACAGGGGAGTCTGCCCACCTATACCCCCCTGAGATCCCCACAAGCCCTTAGAAGCTGTTGCAGGCTCCTCTGACTCCCAGACTGGTCCCCCAGATCCCCTCTGCAAGAAGCAGGATTCGAACTCCAAACCGGCACTTCCGATGCCCCCCAACTGGGCTTCTTTCCAGAAGCCCCAACATTGGCTCTGCCGACATCAGGGTCCCTGGGGGCGCCACCACCCACACACTGAGTCACACACGCACACGCACGCCCACAGCGGCCCTGACGCACACACACACCTCCGTCCCAGGCCCTTGCACACAAACACGCCATGCACACGTTACACACACCCACACACGCAGGGGCCCAGGATGAGGAGGGGGCTTCCTTTACTCCAGAGGATATAGTGGGGTATGGAGGCTCTTGTCTGCAGCTCTGCCTCCCCTCACCCCACATCCTCACACCCCCTCACCCTGGCCGCCACCCCAAGAATGGGGCTGTGCAATTTCTTAGAAAAAAATTCACAAAATAAACCCCAAAAAAATCTATGCGCAGAAGTTGGAGGCGGAGGTCTCCCCGGACCACCCCCAGACCATCTGGCTTCAGTGTCCTGTGTCCTCCCGGAATCCAGGGGCTCTTGTGCTTCCCTCTGGAGAGGGCATCCCCACATGGGTGGCTGGGGGACCAATGCACCCCACTTGGTGCAGGCCAGGCCAGGCGATGTCCTGCCACCCCAGTCCTGGATATTGTGGTTGGCACCGCCAAAGTATTGGGGGCCCCCAGGTCTAGGGCACTGCGGGTGCAGTCCGCTCCCCAGCCCCATAGGGGAGGAGGTGAGCCAAGTCCGTGCTGGGCCTGGGGTGTCGGCCACGGTGACGGTCTCCCATGTGGCCCTCGCCGCTGTTGAACGTGTGCGTGCGACGCAGGGCGGCTGCAGGTGGCCCGTGGGGACCCGGCCTCCGTAGACTGCCCGTTGGGGGGGGACTCCAAGGCCTGGACACACTGTCACCCACTGACGATGGGTCCAAAGGGCCGGTGGGTGCTGACACCACCCTACGCCGGTCCGGGCTGGCATGGGGTGTGGGTGGCAGGTCAGCGGGGTGTGGTGCCCGACCTGACCTGGGGGCACAGAGACGACTGTCGGGCACAGGCTCGGCTGGCACCCCAGGCTGCTCGGTGGCCCTGGTCGGGGCCAGCAACAGCAGGGATGAGGAAGCCGAGGCCGAAAGCAGGGGGTGACTGTGCTCCCAGCCTCGGGGACCCAGGGCATGGGCATGGGGGTGCGGGGTCGGCATCCGTTTCTGAGGCAGTGGCGTCTGCTCCGGGGTGGGCAACAGCCCCGAGTCCAAATCGTGAGGGCCACCTTGAAGCAATGTGGCCTTCGTCCAGCCATTCTGCATGAGGGGGGCCAGCAGGGCCTCTGGGGGACCCCCAGGGCCACCACCAGCTCCTCCACGACCCCCAGGCCCAGCCCCTCTGCGTTCGCCCAGACGGCTCACACTCAGGACCGCCTCACCACCACCGTGGGCCAGGATGGACTCCTTGTCCCTGCGACGGGCCAGTTCCCGCCGCTCACGGAGACCCATGAACCAGCCCACGCTGAAACCAGACACCACTGCGCCCACAACAAAGGCTGCCACCGAAGATGTCACCAGCAGGTTCACAGACACCAACCCTGCACGTTCATCAGACAAGCTGGCCCTCAGGAGGCCTGGGGGAATAGAGAGGGACAGGGACCAGGATGAAAGTCAGCTTGTCTGTGGCATGTGTAACCAGCCCCTCACTGGGGACTCTAGGCTGTCACTCTACCCTGAACCACGCCCCCAGCCCCTCACTGGGGATTCTAGGCTGTCACTCTACCCTGAGCCACGCCCCCAGCCCCTCAATGGGGAGTCCTAGGCTGTCACTCTACCCTGAGCCACGCCCCCAGCCCCTCAATGGGGAGTCTAGGCCTGTCACTCTACCCTGAGCCACGCCCCCAGCCCCTCACTGGGGATTCTAGGCTGTCACTCTACCCTGAGCCACGCCCCCAGCCCCTCACTGGGGATTCTGGGCTGTCCCTGTACTCCATTACTCACCTGTACAGTCTCCTAAGCCTGCGGTGGTCGCCCCAGATACGTCCTGCTCAAATGTGGCACTGAGATGTGGGGAGAAGGAGACAGAGTGGAGTTAGCAGAGACCTGGTCATGCTGCATGGCACAGGCAGGTAGGGTCATAGATTATGGGGTGTCAAATGCATCCCCCATGTGTCCCCCTTCCCTGTTACCTGGTCCCTGGGTTGAGGAAGATGCAGGAGCCATCAGGCGCCCACCCGCAGTATGGATCTTGGCTGCCAATACAGTTCCTAGAACACAATGTGTAAGAGGCTCTCAGGGAACCTGGGCCAGGGGGCTTCCTGCTCACAGAAGCTGGGACACATTCTGAGTCTTGCAGGCAAGGGCAGCCTGCTCCCCATGGTTCACATAAGGAAACAGAGGCTCAGGGACTTAAGCAGGATCCAAGTATCTGAGCCCACATGGTCTGTTGCACCCTCTGCTTCAATCACATGGGCCTCTTTGCTGCTTTTCTACCATACCAGGCTCCCTCCCACCCCAGGACCTTTGCACAGCTCTGTCCTTGACCCCAGGACCTCTGCACAGCTGTGTCCTCTGCCCACTTTATCCCTCAATCAATCAAGGGCCTGTATTGACCCCTGACCCCTGCTCTCCTCCTGACCTTGGCTCCCTCCCACCACCAGCCCTGATGGGACACTCACTTCATGCAGCCCGAGTACTCCTGGCAGCGGGCTACGGGCACTCGGACTATGCAGTGGGGGAAGGTGGCCAGCAAGCCTCCCGAGGCTGCATCCAGCTCCAGGCTCAGCAGTCGCTGCCCTGTCTCGCTGCCACTACCAGGTCGTCCGCACCTGGGGCAGGAAGGGTGGCGTATGAGGCTGGGGTGCTCACCCCATCTCAGCATGCTGCTCCCCAGCCCGTGTTTTCCCCACATGCACCTGTCTGGCCGGTAGGTCTCAAACTCCTCTAGGAAGACGCTGGGCCCTGTGGTCCCTGAGACACTGGCGTTGGGCCTCACAAGGAACTTGAGGACAGTGCCCACCTCGGAGCCAAGGAAGACCACGGTCTGATTGCCCCAGGGCCCAGCACCCACATCCACAGCCACTCGTGTCAGTTGGTGCCTGAAAAACAGGATGGGTGGAGTTGGGGGTTGGGCTGGCCATGCAGGTCCAGCCATCATATACCCCAAAACATGTGCAGTATAGAGTCATTACATAAGTACACAGTGTGTATTTGTAAAATGTTACACCAAGAAGCCATGTTATGTCCTGGAACCTTTGCATGGCCATGTTCTCCACCCCAGGACCTTTGCTCAACTCTGTCCTCTGCCCAGTTTACCTCTCAGTACATGAATGTCATAGACTTGCCATTCCCTGCTGTTCCCTGTCCTCCCACCCACCAGTGGACACACATTCCAGAATGTGACCCCCAGAATGTGCTCACCAACTTTGAAGGTGCAATGCTGGTCCACACAGGAGCCCCCTGGTCCCAGCCTTAGCTCCCACCATCACTCCTAACCTCCCCCAGCCAGCCAGCACTCACCGCATCAGAGTCCTCACGATCCAGGGTGTGTGGTCCAAGGAGGGCACTGCCTCATCCATCAGCGGGTGAGTCTTGACGAAGTTCAGGATTTCATCTGGTAGAGCGCTGGATGCATTGTACCGCATACCAGGTGCTGCACAGCACCCGGGCCTGAGGGAGGAGAAGGAAAGTCAGGAAGGACATGTGGGACCCCACAAAGAGGCCACGACTCACTGTTTCCCTACACTGTGTCCCTGTCCTGCACTCAGCAGGGTACCTGCCCTGTGGGGATGGAGCTGTGCTCTGACCTGGGCTGAGGCACCTGGTCTTCTGGCACTGGCGTCCAGATGGACTCGGGTGACTTCTGCTCCCGGAAGCGGCCTTCAAACACAGCGGCCACCTGGTTCATATCAAAGGCGCAGACAGCGGAGCCCGGGATGCTGAGAACCAGAAAGAATACTGTTGAGCCTCGGTGGGGGTGGGGAGAATTCTGCCATCAATGAGTCCCCTGTATCCAAGTTTCCTGGTAGTTCTGTCACCTGCCCACTACAAGTAACTATCATTCCAGAGCACTCCCAGGCTGGACCACTGTTCAGCTTCTCTGAGGCCATCTGCCCCAGGGCCTTTCCATGTGCCCAGTTCCCATCACAGATGGCCTGTAGGTCCAGCCTCCCAGAAACCATGCTGGCTGATCCTCATTTGCACATGGCTCCCTAGTGCTCTCACACTGAACTCCAGGCTCCTCCCCAGACTGTGATCCTACATCCCTGTGTTTCTGCTGGCTCCCTCCACACCGGCCACCTCCCTCTGACCAGCACCTCACTGCAGCCTCAGGACTGTTGCATGTGCTGTCCCTCCAACTTGGAACACTGCTCCCTTCTTCCATGTGCTTACACGAGCCTCACCCGAGCCCCTTCTCTAGGAAGCCCTCCCGCTCAGTGCCACACTCAGAATGTGTACTGACTGAATGCTTGATCCCGTGTGGCCCCACTGCTGCCGGCTGACCTGTTGCTGGGCGTGGAGAAGACGGCTAGCACGATGGGCCGGCCCCCCAGGCTCATCACACCCGTTGCGGCCTGCAGGACGTTGAAGTAGAAGTGTGAGTCCCCGGGCACCGAGCAGTTGAGCCGAGCCTTCAGGAAGGATGTCCACTGCTTCTCCAGCACACGGGGGGACCCGCCCACATCGTTCTTGCACACACGCCCCACTCGAGACACCACCACCTGGCAATGGGGAGGACAGAGCAGGTCTCAGACCCCAGGTGCCAGGAGGACAAGCCAATCACAGCAGCATGGAGTACTGACAGCAGAGGGCATCCCAGGACCTCGGGGAACAGGCCAATAGGCCGGGGCAAGGAAAGTCTGTGTGGAGACCCCAGGACTGATGGGCAGGTGGGTGGAAGGATGGGTGGCTGGGTGGGTGCATGGGCAGATGGGTGGATGGGTGGATGGCTTGGTGGGCGGGTGGACAGAAGCTGGCTGGGCACAGTAGTCAGGCATCCCTCGCCACCTAAGACTCCTGCTGACAACCCCACCAGGCCTGTGCCCTCTGCAGCTGCTACTGACGTTTTCCTGCCTCAGTTACATTTCCCTGTCTGGTGGGGATCTGAGGTGGAGGGCAGGTCTGTCCTTCCCTGGGTGGATATGCCCATATTCTCAGATTCTCACCCTCTGTCCCCCTCCCCTGACCTGAGCCTCTCAGCTCCAGGTCCCTGCGCAGGCAAGCTGAGTCTTACCTTCTCCAAGTAGTTAAACTCCATTGCGATCTCCCGGAAGAAGAAGTAGACGTGGCTTCCCCATTCCACTGCGTGGACAAAGTAGGGCTCTGTAGGACAGAAGAGGTTAGATTCCAGCCCTGGCCATCATACAGGGACCTCTAGCACTCAGAATACAACCTGGCTATATCATGGATTGTGACTTTTATTGTGAAGGGGAGACTTAGGTTCATTAGTCAGTCAAAACAAATTGAATGTCCTTTTTTTTGTTTGTTTTTGGTGAAGGGTCATAAGCCTAAAATCACTCTTTCCACCCTCCTCTTGCCATCTGTGCTATTTTTTGACACCTTCCTCCCTCACATGGTGGAGAGCCGAGTTCCTGGGATTCCTCTCCTGCATTTCCACTTCAGGCTCCTAACCACCCACTTCCAGCATGTTCTACTTTCCGTCATATCTTCTCTCTGGCTGATCTTTAAAAAGACAAAGATGGGGTTCCAGCCGGGCGTGGTAGCACAGGCCTTTAATTCCAGCACTCGGGAGGCGGAGGCAGGCAGATCTTTGTGAGTTCAAGGCCAGTCTGGTCTACATAGTGAGTTCCAGGACAGCTGGGGCTACAGGGAGACCCTGTCTCAAAAAGACTAAAACAACAACAACAACAACAAAAAAAAACAAGATGGGGTTCTTCTCCTTAGCTCCTCTACGACTCTTATTTTGTTGGGGGGATAGTGGATAAATGCCACCTGTACAAAAGGTCTTGGCTTCCTGCTCTCAGGGTTTTTACCTTTGAACCACTTGGAGTCATGTTTTACTGTGCGCAGGGTGGGCCGGTCCCCGAGGCTGCGGTAGATGACAGTGTCGATGGCTAGGAAGTCGGTCACGGTGGCTGTGAACAGCATCCCATCTGCATATGGGGAAGGAAAGTAGGAAGGAGCCGGGTGGGGGGGGATTACGTTGAAAAGGTTCAGAGGGGGCTGCAGCAAAAATGGGGACCTCAGCCTAAAGGAGTCAATCTCCAGATTTAGCCTTGATCTCAGGCTAGGTTCTGATGCAGGATGCTACCAAACACATACCAGCCTTGATCCCACCTGAACTCCTCCCTCCAGGCTGAGCCTAGCACTTATCCAAAGCTTCACCCTGACCACGCTCCTGCCCTGTGCAGAAATTCTGCCCATTTCATAGCTGGACAAATTGGCTGCTTCTGGGTGACCTTGATTTTAAGAATGGAAAATGCCTTGCCCTGGGCTGGACAGATGAGGGGGACGATCAACAGATGCTCACCTGAGAAGAGGGCGACGTTGGCATGTTTAGGGTCATAGGGGCAGCGGGCCATGCCACTAATGTTGTCCCCAAGGGGCTGCAGTGTGTCCATCTGCAGAGAAGACAGAGCCTGAGGGACAGATCTGGTCCTGTTTTGTGGCCCCTGCCTCCCCTCAGCCCCTGACTCCAGGCAAAACCTGGCTTCACTCTGGGTTCCGGTCAAGTAATGGATGGATGGGTGGGTGGATGGATGGATGGGTGGGTGGGTGGATTAATGGGTGAAAGGATGGACAGATGGGTGGACAGCTGGGTGTGTGGATGGATGGACGGATGGATCAATGGATGGACAGATGGATGGATGGAAGGGTGGGTGGGTGGATGGACGGATGGGTGGGTGGGTGGATGGATGGATGGATGGATGGATGGATGGGTGGGTGGGTGGATGGATGGGTGGATGGACGGATGCTTGGATGGATGGGTGGATGGGTGGATGGACAGATGGGTTGGTGGGTGGATGGATGGATGGATGGGTGAATGGGTGGATAGGTGGATGGACGGATGGGTGGGTGGGTGGATGAATGGATGGATGGATGGATGGATGGGTGAATGGGTGGATAGGTGGATGGACGGATGGATGGGTGGGTGGATGGATGGATGGATGGATGGATGGATGGATGGATGGATGGATGGATGGATGGATGGATGGATGGATGGATGGATGGATGGATGGATGGATGGATGGGTGAATGGGTGGATAGGTGGATGGACGGATGGGTAGATGGGTGGATGGATGATGGGTGGGTGGATGGATGGATGGATGGATGGATGGGTGGGTGGATGGATGGATGGATGGATGGATGGGTGAATGGGTGGATAGGTGGATGGACGGATGGATGGACGGATGGATGGGTGGGTGGATGGATGGATGGGTGAATGGATGGATGGGTGGGTGGATGGGTG